CATAGGGGTGACTGTCATTACAATCCAGATACCTTGATCAGGATGTGCCCTGCTTCTTGTGGTGCTTGTTAGTGATTTTTAGAGACTGTGATCGGTATGTATACCGTCTTTTAGCTACGCAATATTTTTTGTTCACCTTTTTGCCTTCGGTCTATTTGCCTTCGGTTCTTTGCTGAAAGAACAATAGAAAAAATGCCTGGTATAAATACACTCGGTCTCTGGAAAAAAATTATAAAAAATATTGTCAGCCTTTGGATCAACAAAAGAGAATAAAAACACTGTGGAGCCAAGAAAAAATAATCATAATTTGCATTTATTTGCAGTAAAAAGTGTTCCTTAGATATTCAACTCAGTTTTAAGGGGGAAAAAATGAAATACTTAAAGCATCGATTGAAGCAGCTAAAAAAAAACCAACCAATCTGTTTTTATAGAAACCATGCTGAGGAAGAACTTTTCAGTTTATTTTTGTTTTACTCGTCACTCTGATGGTCTTCGCAGAACATGTATTTTATTTCATATTATTATATTACACTTTCTTCACTCTTAAGAGAGAGCAGGTCGAGTTGCGACACCAAACAACTGCTACAAAGGGGACGGCCATTATACAAGGCAATCAGAATTTATTATATATATCTTGTGAGGGCTTTGTGAATGATTTCGATGCGAGCTCTTTTTAAGGCCGGCTGACTTTTTTCTTCTTCTTCCTAATGTTTTTTAATTTTTTTTTCAAAGGGTAGGAGGGGTAGTTCAACCGATTTTAAAACAGACTTTCAAGAAAACGGAGCGATGCTTTTATTCACTGCAACTGTGTAAAGCATTCAATACTAAAATGGTGACAATAAAACTGGGTTAAATGTTGAATTTTTGTATTCCTGCTTTTTTGTAAGAGGGTTAACTCGATGCTTTTGAGTTCGGTCCAAGTTTTTTTGGAAAAATCTGATAATTGAGATTTAACTCCGACAACATAATGTTTCGTTACACGAAGTCCATGGCCACTAAAGAAATGGCAGTGAACGTGCGTCAGACCACTTATAAATAAATTTGCTGAGATAACAACGAAAAATTTTAATTTTCTTTTTTTTTTTTATGTGAGTCTGTGGAAACAGGCATAATGGCAGAACTTTCTCGGCATAAATTCGGAAAACTTTCTTGACAAAGAAGACTTTTCTAATAATGTAGTTTCTGTAAAGCATAAATACTGTTGGAAGCTGCAATATCGACCAGATGAGGAGCTTAGAATATTTAACGCCTAATACTCTTGATCTTTTGTCAAACAAAAGTAGTCGCTCTGATAAAAAAGAATTATCACCGTGTGACGAGTCCGCGCCACAAAAGGGGGGCGCCCTCCAACATACACAAAACACTAAACATAAACAAGCCCGAGAAGACACTCCACAACACAACTAAACGTAGGCCTAGAAATATTTTATTACTCTAAGTAAGACAATATGGTATTTAACAATTACAAACAACAACAACAACAACAAAAAAAACAATAAACTAAATTATTTACCCTAATTACAATAATACAGTAAAACCAAATTGCTAAATTATTTACCTAAACTACTTTACAAGAGTTTACAAGAACGTAACAATTTAAAACTAGAATGCGCTAACTATATTTACAAGAGATAACTTGGATATATCAACAAAGTTGAAGTGGTAAATTGGCCACAGTAACGATTACAAAAGCTGACGTTTCGAGCGTTAGCCCTTCGTCGTCGCTGCCATGAAGGGCTAACGCTCGAAACGTCAGCTTTTGTAATCGTTACCGTGGCCAATCTACCACTTCAGCTTTGTCGATATATCCAAGTTATTTCGTTACTCCCACCGACGCAGCCCCAAACAGTTTCTTTCGAAACTATCAGCCTTTATATATTTACAAGAGTATTATTAAGGAAAAAGGTAGCGTTTTTTTTTTTCAGTTCAGTTCGGTTAGGTTTCACCTTACGCCCTCGGCCACGTCCGTGTTCTTGTCTTGTCCACAACTCAGCACGCTCCACCAACAAACGATGCCCCGCCGAACCAAACTCCCGTTTCTCCAACCAGGTTCCCTTCTCACCGGAGTTCTATTGTTATCGCTATTGTTTTCATTGAACAAAGACTGAATGCATAATTAATGCATGGGGTTAGATGGTACTCTTGCCTTCAACTTTTTACTTCTCGTAACTTGACTCACTC